TTTTTATTATTAGGGCTTCCATTATTTTTATCTTTTTTTTTTTTTTCATGTGGATGAGGCTGTTATACTTGTATTTTCTACTAGTATGTTCCAAATGGAGTTTGGTAGGTTTTTGTGTGTGTTTAAATGAATCCTAATTGAGCTATGGTCAGTAGGTATAACTTGAGTCATTCAGATAAGCATGTAGTAGTATGACCAGTATAATTATTTATGATAATGGATAAAGGAATAGCCAAAAGTGCTTGGATATGCAGAACTTTTTGACATTTTTTACACATGTTGTGTCCAGAAAACACTTGTATGAACACAAGAAAAATTAAATAAAAGGCTTAATTGCAGTACCTGTAACAAAAATATATATGTGTGTGTGTGTGTGTGTGTGTAGAAGAAGATATGTCTTTCTATGATGTTTCTTAAATTCTTGAGAGGTTGGGGTTTTCAACAAGATTACAATCCCAAGCAGTAGTTCCAGATGAAGTAGAAAAGTTTTTTTAGAGTGCCTTAGTCTGACCTAATCCCTATAGAAAATCTGTAGAAGGAATTCATCAGATGAATCCCTAAAACTTGAGTTATCTTAAGGTGATTTCTTAATAGGATTGGGATAAGAGCTTTCCTCAATTCATTCTATACATTTGACAGCCATCATATCAAATAATAGATAAGCCATTAAAGTGAATGCTGTTTATGTCCAGAACTGTTGTATGTTACCTTTTGTTGTTTTTGGCAGCAACTGGATAAAGAATTACAATCCAAATTAAAATCTCTAATTTTGCTCCCAGTTGTAACTCTTCTTTATTCTCTAAGCAAGTGGTAATTTTTGTTGCATTTATTAAGAAATTCCATATAAATGTAAATGTTATATATTTCAGGGATTGATAAATTTTATTTTTATTAATCCAGTTGTCATTCTAAAAGTGGTATCAGTTTTAAGGTTAAGACATTTAGGCAAGCATGGAGTGATCATAAAAAAGTGATTGATATCTAAGAAATATTTTTCTGAAGTACCATTTGTAAATGAAGTATTGACTAGACTACTTCAGTACTTAAAATACTTAAAATTTTATCTTCAAAATAAAATTTAAAAAAATGAAAAAATTTAAAAATAAAAATTCAGTTTATTGCCTATATATATATATCAAGATACACTAAAAATTGAAGTTTTCTTCATGGATATAATAATATTTATTATAAATTTTATATTTATCTTGCAAAAAAGAAAATCAGTCATGATGGTATACAAACTAATTGTGTAAAACATGTAAATAATAATTGTTAATGGCATGATGTTCCTGATAACCAATAACCTAATGGCCATATAATCAGATGTGCTTTTGTTTATCTAGTGTTCGTCACTGGAACAGAAAGTACAATAAAGTTAAAGTAACAAATTTACTTGTATAACATTTTTCAGTGAAAAAAGATCTGGTATGAAGTTTCTACTTTAATTTCTGGAATGGGAGGGAGAAGATTTTAGAATACTGGTTATAATTGTAAAATAGGTTAATCTAAATTTGAAATTATTTGAAGATTATTCCTCATTAATTTAACTAAAGTCAACAATGATTAACAATTGATAAGAAACATGTAATGCAAAACAAAACTTACTGCCAATATGTTAATGGCCATCATTAAATTTATCTATGAAGTTTTAGATAAAGATGTCTCTAGATATCTCAAAGACTTTCAACAGGATTTAGCAATGCTGGCTTTCTCTGCAAGCTTAAAGGCTACAGTGTCACAGGATTAATTTTTGGCTTAATCCAATTGTTCCTAATAAATCAGGTAATGAAGATCATGTTGAATGGGCATATTTCTAGATAATTTTATACTAATATGGATGTCCACCCAGGGCTTCTTGGACTTACACTGTTTCTGATATTCCATGACCTTCCTGATGCTATCAGTTTCCAACTAGGTATTTATACAGATGACACAACTATTTACTCCTGTCTTACTGACAAGTCTGACAGATCCAACAAAGTAAATATGGCAACTGCTTTTGAAAAGGGCCTCCAATCAGTGGTTAACTAGGGCAAGAAATGGTTTGTAAATTTGAACACCTCCAAAACAAAACTGCTTTCATTTAATCATCACAGAGAACACTTTTCTGCCTGCCCTCAGCATGACTGATGATAAACTCTAGGAGAGCAACACCCAACATATTCTTGAACTCACATTTTCTATTGACATGAAGTGGAACGATTATATTGAATCAATTGCTATGTTTACTGCTAAGAAAGTTGGTTCACTGTGTTGTGCCAGAAAATTTTTCTCATCAGAATCCATCTTGCACATTTATAAATCTACCATTCGTCCATTCATTGACTACTGCTGCCATATCTTGTCTGGTGCTCCTGCTGACAAAATTCAAAGAAGGCTCTGTAATGTAATCCATCTTGATCTTGCATCTTAATTTCAGTCACTTTCTCACCAACATGATGTGATGTGGCTTCCCTCCATTTTTTTCTACAAATATTTTCATGACAACTGTTCTGATGAGGTTTTTTCCTTAGTGTCTCAATATTCCAAATACTTGGCAATAGAATGCATAGCACTATTTATCTTGTATAATGGAAGATGTTATGACTATAATGATGACATAATGATTACATTTGAAGTCAGGTAGGGGCAATATACTGGATGCATTTGAGTTTGATCAACTTGTTCATTTGTACTGACAATGAGGGCAGAACAGTATTTCAGAAGAAGCATTCCATGTTGTCATTTAATAATGAAGTTGATTAATCTATATAGGAAACAAATTCAGGGCATGAAAGTCAGAAATTGTTAATTCCAAGATTGTGGGAATAATTATTTATTCAGTGTTATTGTTCTATTTGTAAACCAGTCTATGCTAATAGGATTTTTATGTCGATATAGAAATAATTATGCAACTAAGTAGTTGGTTATGAAACTAGCTTGTTTTGAATTAAGTACTTTTAGCATAAACATGCTTTGATTTCTAAGAAATTAGTACATCTCAGGAATTTTAAATATTTTATTATTGACTGGAACAAGTAGAGTTCTGCTGTTATCAATTAAGGAATTTGTATGATTCAACTTATTGTTTTGTTTTTCAAATTTTTTCTATCCTTACAATCATTATGTAAATTTTGGTTGAATCTCAATAAATTTTTCTACATAAAGTTTCTGTATTTTGCATGGCTATTTATGGTTAGGCATAAAAAAAAGATTTGTTACCATAATTTCAAATTGTATTACTTGATGTATATTCATAGCTTTTTATTTTTTGGTTCAGTTGAGAAATGTCACTTATGTATTATAAGAATAATAATAATAATAGTAAATGATATTAATGTAGGCATTTTAATTTAACAATTATCAAGGCATATATCTGTTGTCTATATGTCTGTCTTTCTCTGTTCATCCTGGGTATGACAGTAAACTACATCTGGCAACAAAGCCTCTGATCAGAAGATTGGAGGTTTTGGGGAGTGTAGAACAACCTCTTAATTGTTGTTGTTCCTGGGTCCACCCTGACTCTGGGTAGTAGCCCCTATTAGGGTCCCAACTATAGGCAAATAGTGCACCCCCTCCCCAAACAAAAATCGACAGTACACTTTATCATCTACAAGCTAAAAACACCTTTTACTCTGAAAGTATAAGATTATTTACAAAATATCTGTAGTTGAAAGCATAAAATTATGTACAGAATATTTAGATTTTGGCATTAAATAACCAATAGAGGCTGATATATGACTAAACAAAATCAACCAACCAAACAATCAACATGAAATAACTCTTTCATGACATTAGTCCTTATAATATCCTACAATTTCTTAAAGTGTATTCCAAAATATAACTTCAACAAAACTACAAAATAAAATCCACATATTTTTAGTAATCGGGTCCACACAAATGTGTATGCACAAAAGCTGAGTATTGTGAAAGCAGAATAATGTATATCATATTTATATTACTTCAAAGCTCCCAAGAAAATCAAATTTTGACATTAATAACAAATTTATATGCCATTAAACAAATCAATCTCTCTGTCTATATATCTATCTCTGTATCAAAGTGGAAAACTTTATTTAATGTATGCTATATTTATGGGTTAAAGTATACAATTTTCAGGCCATGTGTGTTGTGTTTTGGTAAAGCTCTTTATGGGTAGAAGGTTTATTATCCTAACAGTTACAAATAGTAAATACATGATTAGCACAATGTTTTCTAAGCATATATGGGCTTTTAAAAGCAAAAACCAAATTAAACCAAAAATATCATAGAAAATAAGGAAAACAGCATCAGCCTACAACATCAAATTTAAAAACTGTAAACTCTGACTGGAGGAGAAAATAGCTATAATTACCTTCCCAGACCAACACAAATTACTAAATAAATGATCAGAATTAATCTCAAAACTCAAAATAGAGGCAAGCAAAATTTTTTTTAATGTTACTTAAAAATCAAGATGAATATAAAATAAAACAAAAAAAATAAAATTAAGTAAAATAAACAATAAATAAGTAAACAGATTAAGTAAATAATAAATAAATTAACAATCTACTAATGTACACATAAACACAAATGTAATAATAATAATCAACAGCAAATAATAAAGTAATAAATAATGAGTAAAAAAAGTTAGCAAACAACACTAAAAAATAGCTACTATTAACCACATTTGGATCGGCAATTATTTCTACTCGATAACCTAGAATAATTTGAAATATAATTGTTACCATTCACCCAATAACTGTTAGGATAATGCAATAGACCTTCTACCCATAATGCACCATTGACGAGTATATATAGTTGAGCCAAAGCACAACACACATAGTCTGAAAATTGCATTTAAGCATGAAACTCTGTTGCCACTGAGTGTTGACCTCAGTGTCCACTACATATATGAGAAAGTTTTGGTTGTGGCTGATTTAGATAATATATCTATTTAAAATACTTTGGTGATGATCAAATGCATTTTTTGTATTTCTATAAAGAAAACAAATGTAAATAAATTTTTGTATTTCTTACAG